CCGGGCCGTGCCCGGCACAGGCCGCATGCATAATTCAGCGGCGAGCTATTAAACGCTTCCAACTTTTGTCATTACTCGGAAATCTCATTAAATCTCCTCCGTACGAGGTGCACCAATTGCTCCGCCGAACCCCGCTCATTGTTCCCCGCCAGAGCCATCCTGGCCCTCAGAGTGATCCCCTCCGCGGCCCCCGCCTGCCGCAAAGCCTCTCATCTGCGAGCGCTCCTTTGTGCGAGAATGAACTGTCCGTGCAAATTAAGTTTTGTCATTAATCATATTAACACGCTGCTGTCACAGGATTGCTCCGTTCACCCTCCTCACGGAGGGCCGGGGGCCTCCCGCACCACCTCACAGGCCAGGCCCTGTCTCCCCAGGGTCCCCCGTGAGCCCACAGAAATGGGCCAGCCAGAGGGAAATAATGCCGTTTACTTTCTGAATTTAGTCCCTCGACCCTCACCCAGAAATCTCTGCATCCAGGTAATTTTAGCTTGATCTGAAGACTTCAAGTGGCAGTAACTTCACCACAGCTAAGTTATTCCAACAGTTAATTAACCTCACTTTAAACGCTGCACCTGATTTCTAATCTGAATTTGTCCAGCTTCTGCTTCCAGGCATTTGAGCTCATTAGGCCTCTTACTGACAGATGAAAGCACCCTCCGCACTCCGCTGTCGCTGCCCACGCTCGCTGCTCGCAGCCCGCCATCACGTCCCTGATTTCACAGAAGTGAGATGGAGGCAGCCTCTCCTTAGAAGGCTTTGCACTGTTAAATCCATCGTGCAGCTCCTCTCTGCATTGCTACCAATTTCTTATCGCCAGGTATTTTGAAGTGAACCTCAGAAGATACAGTAACCAGAGATAATCTTTAACAATACCACAACAGAGACAACAAACCTTCCAGCTTGCACCTCATGTTCCCTCCTTAATATATCCTGCTTGTCTACCTGGCTGGCGCCTCACACAGGCACAAGTAAGGTGCTTAAAGGTCTCAGTTCTACCCTTCATTACTCACACGAGAAAACAGTTACACCAGGCAGGAACACACTGTGCAAACTGAGGAAGGACACAAAGTTATGCACATAGTAAGACTATTCTCACAGTGCAAGAAAACAAAACTGTTACTGAGCCCAGTTCCTCTGCCCTTTACTCCCGGAGTCAACATCAACTTTTCTGCTGCATTTACTCTCCCACAGAGATCACTGAGAGATGCCTGATCACACCAAGCTTCATAGCATAAAGCAAACTGAAGTGAGAAGGCTCTTCAGACAGCAAGAAAGTTACCTAGGCAAGGTAACACCGAACTGCAAGAGTGCTTCCTCACTTTTAAACCAGGCATGTAGCCTAAAAACCACAGGGGGGCTGCAGCAGTTTCCAGCACCTCTCAGTCCCCAGCAGAACTGCAATTTTTA